GGTAAGGGTAGGGGTAGGGTTAGGTTAGGGTTAGGTCAAATAATGTCATATTTGCATTAAAAATGACATAACTGAGCGAATGACACTTAATGACAGATGTGTCTTGGTAGTAAAAAGTTACTTTCAAAGATAGATTTGAAGACTACAGTAAGATTTAACTTCTCCTGTTAATAAGATTTTGGTAGGCTACTTTTAGATGGATAGCCTAAATGTCCTAATTCAGATGGGCTACCTGTTTTTTTTTTTAATGGTATATCAAAAAGTGTATATTTTTTAAATGTGATTGTTGGTACATTTTACCAGTTTTTACCATACTTTCAAAACAAAAATTAAAATAGGAAAAATATGCAATATGAAAATAATTGAAGACAAAATGTGTTTTACTGCGAAAAAAACAAGATTTGGTTTTTAAAAAGCCTTTTTCCAAAAGGTACATCTGGAAAAAGGGGGGTCGTCTTATAATCAGGGTCGTCTTATATTCGGGCCAATACGGTAAGATATTTTTGATGAAATCTGAGAGCTTTCTGACCCTCCATAGACAGCAAGGGTACTACCATGATCAAGGCCCAGAAAGGTAGTAAGACCATTGTTAAAATAGTGAATTTGGCATCAGTGGTTCAACCGTAATTTTGAAGTTACCAGAATACTTTTTGTGTGCAAAGAAAACAAAAATAACAATTTTATTCAACAATTTCTTCTCTTTCATGTCAGCCTTCGATGCACGTTCATGACGGTACCACACATTTTTGGGTGAACTCTCTCTTCACATATATTGAATAGGCTGTATCTTCTTTAACAGGGGGTTCGAGGGGAGAGGGGCTCCCGAGGCCTACCAGGACCATTGGGACCAGTTGGGCCAGCAGGGGCAAAGGTGAAAACAATCCATTCATATTTACAAAAACAAAATACCACGTCAAGAAAAGACCTTTGTCTCTGTCATTGCCAGTATTCACTTAAAATCTATTGAGCTACAGTATCTTTCATTTAAAATAGGGAGAACCAGGGAATGTTGGAGTTCCAGGTGTTTCTGGGCCTCCAGGACAGGGCATACCAGGACCTAAGGTACGTTTGAGAAATGCTCAGGGTTAAAAACAAGATGTATCAAAAATAAAATAAAATAAAAATTGACCATTTCTTACGGAGTAATTTATGAAAATTAAGACACATTTCTGCTTTTTAAACCTCACTCTAAAAAATGATTCAGGGGGCCCGTTTACCACAGCTTATATAAATGCATGGTTTCAAGTAAAAAATTATAATTTAAGCATTGATGAGTTCTGTTGATCATTACAGCAACTTAATATTGTGTGTAATTTAAACTCAAATATCTGCGTTAATTGAACTAAGTTGTAGTAACTCAATAAAATTGTCTTGTTAACTTTGGAAATTGGGTATGCTTTGCATAGGACTATAGATAAGGAGAATAAATGTTCAAATTAATTATTTTATGTGTTTTTAGTGAAGGGAAAGACCTGTTAGAGTTTAATGTTGTTATGTTTGACAATTGAAAGTGTTTCGGTGATGTTGAAGTTTTTGTGGTTACCCTTGTGCTGAAGATTAGACCACATGAAGGTAATCACTATTGGCTCTGTATTAGCAATGACTACACTAATGCCAGTGACAAAAGTAGCATGCTTCTTCATTAAATATATATGCTTTTAAATAAGTTACATTTAGCAGGTGCTATGATAGCTGTGAATTTGGACTGAAAAAGATCATATAAATTGGTTTCAGGCTCACAAATCCATTAGTAACTCAAAAATATGTGTTAATGTTACACATTTTTAAGTTCTTCTAACTCAATGTAGTATGTTGTTTGAACAGAAAAAAATTGATGCAAACTGTTTCGTCTTTTTTTATTTATGTATGAGCTAACACATTATTTTTTTGGAGTGCTCTAGATTCTAGAATGTAGGCCAATTTACTTCCATTGCAACTTTTTCGAATATTCATTCATATATTTTTAATGTGGCATAAGCTTCTATATACTGTTTGGGCTAACAGTATGTGTATGTAATTGATCAGGAGATCTCAATACCATGTTCATCTTCCTGTAGGGAGATCCAGGGCCGGTTGGTCCACCAAGTCCTGCAGGAGAACCAGGGATAGGCATTGCAGGGCCGAAGGTAAGAGTGATGCCCTAGCAGAAACCTGTATTGTTGTCGTTTTTTATTCCGATGCATTTTGTCTGTCTTTAGGGTGAAATAGGGTTACGAGGACCCATTGGACCTCCAGGGCTGAGGGGAGAAGGCTATCCCGGCCTACCTGTAAATATCATTACAAAGAATATTATTCATTCAAATGTTACATTTATACAGTCTGTTTTTATTTTGACATACCAAATGGGAATATAACAGTATAATTTACACTATATACAGTACGTTTTGCTCATGTGATCTATAGGGGCCACCAGGTCTGCCAGGTCTTACAGGAGAGACTGGGCCAGAGGGAACAGGTTTACCTGGACCAAAGGTAAAGTGCTTGCTTAACACAGAACATGTAAACATTTGAATCTTTAAAAAAAAAAAAAGCATTCTATTAAAGCATTTGCTGAATCGATATATTCTGTCACAGGGGGATCGAGGCCCTCCAGGTTCCCCAGGGCCTGCTGGAGCACCAGGTCTTGGGCAAGTGGGCCCAAAGGTAGGAAATATATGTAGAATACATGTATGCATATCATAATCAACACTCTATGATTCGATAATACACTGCTGAATGTGTCATTAGATGTGTTTGCAGATATGTTTAGGTGTTCAGATTGACCTGTTTAGGTGTTTTTGTGGTCTGCAGGGCTCCATTGGTCAGACTGGTCCAGCTGGTCCTCCAGGATTACCAGGAGAGGGCATACAAGGACCAAAGGTAACAGGAATCTGAGGCTTATCAACAGGATACAGTATTCATAGAAACACATTACAGTGTGATGTACAACAGTGAAGTATTCAAACTGTTTAATTCACATGTATTTTGTTTTCATACAGGGTGATCCTGGATATCAGGGTTTACAGGGGCCAAGAGGGCTTCCTGGAGACGGTCTGCCGGGGCAGAAGGTGAGGAGAGTCATATAATCATATATCACTACTAGCATGCATTTGTATTTTGTACAGCAAGGAATCCTTCACACAGTTACATTTACTCACCCTCATGTCGTCCCATACCTGTAGGACTTTCTTTCTTCCATCAAACACAAAATGAAATGTTTGCCACTATTTTTCACAAAACTGGTGATTTATAATGCCAGACTTACAGTATATGCACTTACATGCAATTAAAAATGTTGCATCATGTCAGACTTGAAAACATGAGCAAAACTGTGAGTTTAAATCTCCTTTGATGTAACTACTCTGTTGTAGGGGGATCGTGGGTTACACGGAGCACAAGGACATAAAGGAGACAGAGGAAGCCAGGGAGGACCAGGATCTACTGGACCACCGGTGAGAAGAACTGAGAAGGAAAATCTGATCATCAATCATTCACGCGAGACTTGCTTTTTAATCTTTAAACATTATGATAGCTGATAATTCCAAGCATTGCTTAAGACACATATCTGCATTATTTAACTACATTTTACACACCTGAACATTGTGTTATATAATCACAGGGTAATACAGGAACAAAGGGAGAACCTGGTCTCACGGTACGTACACAGATGTCAATAAAGAATTAATTTGTTCTAGTGCAAATAAAAATAAAAATAAAAGTATTATGCTGTTGTTGCATGACCTCGTGCCAGTTGTAAAAAAAATTGCATTATCATCCCATTTTGGTGTAAAAATGATTTGACTTTTGGGAGTTTGGTCAAATAATGTAAGTGGAAGGTAAAGTCCAGTGCATTGCATTATGGGATATAGTATTCCACACAGTGCTTACTGCTCTTTTTGGTCATCTGCAAATTGGTGTATGATTTACTTGTAATTATTTGTGAAATTTACTAGTAATTTCGATTTCTGAATTATTTCAATGCATTGAATTAAATGGGATTTTTGTTGTTGTTGTTAAATAAAAAGACTGAAAATAGTATTTTCTTGTTAAAACATATTCCAATAATCTTAGTTTTATTTACAACTACAAAAACAAAAACAAAACATTCTTTACAGTGTGTTTTTAACGCATACAAAACATTTGGATATTGTACATATGCTATACAATTATATATATATATATATATATATATATATATTATATAAAAAATAATGTAATAAAATAATGGCATATATATATATATATATATATATATATTGAAGTGAAGTAAAGCTGAAATAATACAAAATACTTTGTATTGTAAAGTAAAAGACGAAATAAAAAAACAAAAATAAGAAATGTTGCTCAAACAAGTTTAAGTACTAAAATTAGTAAAGTAATAGTAGATTAAAGCTTATTAAGCAAATAACAAAATTACTCAAACTTAAATTAAAATCAAAATGAAAACTGAAAATATAAAAATTAAAAGCTAATTCTATAAATGAACATAATCATAGTACAGTAAATAAATAATACTACAATAACACTACTACTAGCTAGTGTGAAACAGAAATGGAGCGCTTCAATAACGAGATTTTTATGTATTTTGCAGAGAGAGGAAATAATCAGCTTAATCCGATCTATTTGTGGTAAGTATTCAAATCGCAGATATTTTTTGCTGAATTTGATTGCTTTGTAGTGAATCACACCAAAACTGATTTGGCTGGAATGATTTATTATCATTTGTCAGGCTGTGGCCGGATTTGCAGAGTGCGGCCTCTGGAGCTGGTGTTTGTGATTGACAGCTCTGAGAGCGTCGGCCCAGAAAACTTTGAGGTCATTAAAGACTTTGTGAACACCTTGATCGACCGCGTGTCAGTCAGTCCAGAGGTCACGCGTGTCGGCGTGGTTCTCTACAGCCACATTAACCTGGTGATCACAAGCATACAAGAGCGCTTAAGTCGTGATGAAGTGAAAGCAGCCGTGCGCAGGATGCCCTACATTGGGGAGGGCACTTACACAGGAAGTGGCATCAGAAAGGCCAATGAGATCTTCCGCTTTGCTCGGCGCGGTGTGAGGAAAGTGGCTGTGGTTATTACGGACGGCCAGACGGATCACCGGGACACGGTGAAGCTGGAGGATGCGGTCAGAGAGGCCCATTCAGCCAATATCACCATGTTGGCTATAGGGGTGGTGAATCAAAGCGACCCCATCTATGATGATTTTAAGCAGGAGCTGAAGTCAATAGCGTCGCCACCCACTGAAGAGCACGTGTTTTCCATAGAGGACTTCAGAATGCTTCCTGGTATGTTTGCTGATTTGCAAAAAAAGGCCTAATATATATATTATTAGCTTTAATGCACTTATCAAATAGCAGTCAAATGTCAAAAGTTTTCATGACAAAAAGAAGTGGAAAAGTGGAAATCAAGATAAGGCATAGGCATAAAATAAAGTCTCAGACTCATTCAAAATTTGTGAATGACTCAGTGAAAATTTGGAGGAAAATACAGTAGGAATCATGCCTTTGTGGCAGTATTTCTGGTGATTAAAGGAAAATGAAAATTTACCCTTGGGCCATCCACGTGGATGTAGTTTCTTTATCAGAACAGATTTAGAGAAAAGTAGCATTCCATCACTTGCTCAGCAATGGATCCTCTGCAGTGAATGGGTGCCGTCAGAATGAGAGTCCAAACAGCTGATAAAAACACCACAGTAATCCACACTACTCCAGTCCATCAGTTAACATCTTGTGAAGCAAAAAAAGGCTGCATGTTTGTGAGAAACAAATCCACAGATGTTTTTAACTTCAACCACTGCTTCTGGCTAAAATACCAGTCCTCTATCCATAATATTGCTTTCTCCAGTGAAAAAGGTGTCTCGTCTGAATCAGGAGAGAAATCTGCACACATCAAGCACGGTTTACAAGTGAAAACAGTCTAAAACATCTCTAAACACATGTGTGTGAATTTTGATGTGAGAGGACAACGGGGGATTGACTTTTTCATTGTGTGAAGCGTTATTATGGATTATGACTGGTATGAAGCAACAGTTTAAAGTTAAATGGCTTAATGATTTATTTAATTTATTTTTTTACCAACATACAGCAAACCCATGACTTTGACCTGCCTAAGCTACAGGATCACATTAATTAAATGCATGTTTTTTGTCTCTGTGGTCTAGAAGTGGAAAGTAAACTGCTTCAAGAGATCTGTGAGAACACTGATGGATCGATATTCAGCACTACCTCCAAGGTAAGCTCACACACTCTTCAGTCAACAAGACTGCATTGGTTATATTTTTTGGGCATTTTAATAAAATAGAATTTCAATTTTATTAATTAAGAAATAGTATTTTTTTTTATTCTAGAAAATTCTAGAATTTTAGAATAGAAATAGAATTTTATTAAAATAAAAGCATTTCAATAAAAAATAGACGTTCTGCAGTGACATTAATTTCATATAAATATTTGTATTATTATCATTTAAAAATAATACTTTTTCTAATTAGTATTACACATGCAGTTTTTATATTTTATTATTAGTTTTATATTAATTGAGACTGACAGTTGCTTCAGTTTTAAAAACATGATGTACCTAAAAGCCATATTTGATCTAAAAGCATATTAATAAAACAATGTTTTGGACATATTAATAAAATAGAATTTAAATGTGTTTCTCCCCCCCTCAAATTCTAGAAAATTCTATTTTAGAAGTTTAGAATAGAAATAGAATTTTAATCAAATATAAGCATTTAAATAAAAATAGAAGTTCTGCAGTGACATTCATTTAATATAAATATTTGTATTATTATCATTTAAAAATAATACTTTTTCTAATTAGTATTACACATGCAGTTTTTATATTAGGTTTTTATATTTTATTATTATTTTTATATTAATTGAGACTGACACTTGCTTCAGTTTTAAAAACATGATGTACCTAAGAGCCATATTAATAAAACGATGTTTTGGACATATTAATAAAATATAAATTTTTTTTGGGGTCAAATTCTAGAAAATTCCATTTTAGACGTTTAGAATAGAAATAGAATTTTAATAAAATAAAAGCATTTTAATAAAAATAGAAGTTCTGCAGTGACATTCATTTAATATAAGTCTATTTGTTATTATTTAAAAGTAATACTTTTTCTAATTATTATTACACTTGCAGTTTTTATATAACATTTTTATATTTTATTATTAGTTTTGAGACTGACACTTGCTTCAGGTTTGAAAAACATGATGTATCTAAAATCCATATTTGATCTAAAAGCCACATGCTGTTTGCTGTGAAAAAATGCTAGTACTTATTTAATTGAAATTACATAATATATGCTCTGCAGTGTGGCATTTTTATTGTACATTTATTATTATTTATTTATTATAAAGTTAAGCACCATTTTTCTAATAATTATTATGCATGCTGTTTTTATGACTTCATATCTTATTTTGTATTTAAAAAAAAATGTCAAGCTGCAGGACTGTTTTGGTGTACAAAAAAAAACAACTTAAAAACTTTAGCGGATTTATCGCATCCAAAATAAAAAAACTGACCCACCGCTGCTCATACAGGATGATTTTACTGCAGGTAAATGCTGCTCGAAAGTGGTACGATACAAATAATACCTGCAATTCTGACTTCCTGTAAATAACATTTTCTCTCTCTCGTGTCAGACGAGGGATGCCTTCAGCCTCTGGATCCCGGTCCGTGTCGAGAGTATGTTGTTAAATGGTATTTTGATCCAAAAGCCAATTCATGTGCTCAGTTCTGGTTTGGAGGTTGCCAAGGCAACAAAAACAAGTTTGACACTCAACAGGCCTGCAGAAAATCCTGTGTGAAAATGTAAGTCTTATCATTAGAGCACTGAAGAGACATAAAGCTAAAAGGGCTCTTTATTATTGAAATATACATACGCTTTTAATATTCAACATTTTAAATAATAAACATTTTTACTGTGAACATTTTAAAAAACTACACTTGAACAATCTACAAATGCATTATTTGCATATATAGTGGCCACAAGAAGTATTTACACAAGGTTAAGTCACAATTAAAAATGCCTAAATTTCATTGCATTATATAGAAAATATCAAGTGTTTTTATTTGAAAGAAATGTATGAATAATTCTTGATAAGAAAGAGAAAATGCACTGATATTCAGACATTATTTTGAGCAAAAATACTATTTCTTGATGTGGGAAATGAACAATATTCCAACAGAAAAACAGTCTGTAATCTTTTACCATCAAATGTTCTCATATAAACTAGTTTTTGGTCACATGAAACATCTTTGTAGGTTTTTTTTTTATATTTGTGACCCTGGAGCACAAAAGCAGTCTTAAGTCGCACGGGTATATTGGTAGCAATAGCCAAAAATACATTGTATGGGTCAAAATTATAGATTTTTCTTTTATGCCAAAAATCATTAGGATATTAAGTAAAGATCATGTTCCATGAAGATATTTTGTAAATTTCCTACTGTAAATATATTTAAACTTCATTTGTGATTAGTAATATGCATTGCTAAGAACTTAATTCGGACAACTTTAAAGGTGATTTTCTCAATATTTTGATTTTTTTGCACCCTCAGATTCCAGATTTTGACACTTTTTGACACTAGAAACTTCCAAAAAATTTACACTTAAGACTGGTTTTGTGGTCCAGGGTCACATTTGTCTGTTGTATTTGTATTGTGGTTTTAACTGTGTTTAAGCTCACTGGTGCTGTTTTGTTCATGATTAGCGTTGAATCGGTACTTGTATCCGAATGTTCGCAGGTGATGTGTGAAATACTCCAGCATGTACATGTCTGCAGGCCGCATGTAATGAAACCAGATCACAAAATCTGCACAGCAGTCAGGACCCTGGAGAAAGAGAAAAATCATTCAAAACAGATACATCATTATGTTTTGAGTAATTGCAGACGATGCAAATGTGTCATTATGCACAAGTCAAACTATAATGTACACAATTCCTATATACATATATGACTCTTATTTTTAATATTTACAATTATTTAAATTTTTATATTCGAGCATGAAAATACTGCTCTATTATGCTGCTGAGCGAAGAAACATTTTTACTTTAAAAAAAAAAAAAAGCAGAAAAACATTTGTTTTTAATTGTCACTGTAAAATGTAGTTCTGACTAACTGAAATTATAGTTAAACTAATCAAATATATATTTACATTTAAAAATCTGTCATTTTAATGTAAGTGTTTATGCTGTATCAAAAAACCAAAAGGACTTATGTTAAACACTTAAATTTCAACATGAAACAATGTATGCAAACTATTTTCTGCAAAATGATGCATTTCTGAGTGAAACAGTATATTCAACAAGAATAAAATGTAGGGTGGGATTTTATCAAACTGGATAAAACAGTTTTCTGATGTAAGTATCTGTATGTTTGGGTAGATTGAAACTGAATTTTACATTAAATATTCAACATATTGGTAAAACATATCGGACTTGATTCTGATCAGTGTTATTTCAATATCAATGAGATATGTTCATATTTTGAATTAGTTTTTATTTGTGCATTTTCTGTTTTCATTTTAATAATGTTGTTTGTTTTTGTCATTTTTAGTATTTATATATATATATATTCAGTTAAACTAAATATATTTCAAGTTAAACGAAATAAAAATAAGAAATATTCCATTTGTCAACCATCTGAATTTTTTTTTTATTGCAGTTCATGTTTATTTTATGAATGTAGTTTTAGTTAATATAATAACTGTATATTATATAATATCTACCGGTTACTAACGGTTTTAATCACAATATTGCATAATTACATTTATTTAAATAGAAACGGGGGATAATATTTTGCAATTTCACACAGCCTAAATAATAATAATGCTAATAAAAATAATACTTATAATAATATCTTTTTTTTTTCAAGTTTAACTCAAAATGCACGTATATCACGTAAATCTCCAGTTCATTCCTGTTCAAGTGAACTTCATGTAAATCTCTAGTTCATTCCTATTGAATGTCTTAGCAACAGTAACCAAGGGCAGAGCTTAGGGTTAACTGACCCACACATATTTTCAATGAGAAACTGGCACTCACACGTCTGGGTTTGTAGAAACTGTAGCCCCAGACCTGTTTTCCATTCTCCGGGGGAATGAGGTGATTTTCCGGTCTAAAGGGATTAAATGTTTCCCGTTGATTCGGATCTCTTGAATCCCCGGCCTTCACTCCCATGGTCTCCATGCACCTGCCCAAGGCCATGTCCTTCACAGAGCTGAAATGCTCGCAGCGTCCCGTACTGAAGCCTTGCACAAATCTCCTGAGGGCCTCTGGGCTCAGAACGTATCCGGCTCCTCCGCTCATGTAACCCTGACGAACGAACGGCCGGAACCTGTGGCCAAAATAAACGGGCTTCTCTGTGTCGTGCTGGGAGAGCAGGTACCTCAGGTTTTCCACCACAACAAACGTGTCGTTGTCGGCTTTGAGGAACCAGTCGGCGTGCTGGAGGTGGTGGGCATGGATGTACTGAAAGGCACGGATGGTCTTCCAGTACTGCTGCGATCGGCCCTCATAACGTTCAGCCCCACGGTGGGGAAGTCAGAGCTCAGTGAGCTCATGTACAGAACCTGGTGTGTTTAGCCCAGGTGGCACCAACATGCTGGAGCTTTTTCAAAAGATTTTCAGGCCTCATCATGATCCAACACAGGAAAACAGGGACTGCGCCAGCTCATCTAGGACATTAAAGCAAAACATGCACTAGCAGTCAAAAGTTTGGGCTTTCACTTTGTTGAACGTACTCTACCATTCAAAATGTTTGAGGTCAGGCAGATTTTTCTTTCTTTTTTAAAGAAAATGAATACTTTTATTCAGCAAAAATGCATTCAATTCATCCAAAGCCACAGGAAAGACTTGTTACATAAGATATCTATTTCAAATCAATTGTTTTAAACTTTGTTTTTCAAAGAATTACGAAAAATATATATTTCATTCCACATAAATATTAAGCAGCACAACAGTTTTCAGCACTGATAATTATAATTTTTTTTTTTTTTGCAAATCGTCATATTAGAATGATTTTTGAAGAACCATGTGACACTGAAGACTGGAGTAATGCATCACATTGTTGCATCACAAATCAATTTAATTTTAATAGATATTTAAATAGAAAACAGTGTAATAATCTTTTATAATATTACTGTTTTTACTGTATTTTGATGAAATAAACAGCGTGAACAGGTTTTCTTTCAAAAACATTAAAACATTTTACTGACTCCAAACTTTTGAACAGTACTGTATGTTGTTTTTTTTAAAATTATTTTATATGACCCTGGAGCACAAAACCAGTCTTAAGTCGCTGGGGTATATTTGTAGTAATAGACAACAATACACTGTATGGGTAAAAATGACCAATTTTTCTTTTATGCCAAAAATCATTCGGATATTACGTAAAGATCATGTTCCATGAAGATATTTTGTAAATTTCCTACCGTAAATATATCAAAATGTAATTTTGATTAGTAATATGCATTGCTAAAAACTTCATTTGGACAACTTTAAAGGCGATTTTCTCAATATTTTGATTTTTTTGCACCCTCAGATTCCAGATTTTCAAATAGTTGTATCTCGGCCAAATATTGTCCTATCCTAACAAACCATACATCAATGGAAAGCTTATTTATTCAGCTTTGATGACTGGTTTTGTGGTCCAGGGTCACATATTAAAAATTTAAACCATGCACAGAAATTATTTTCTTTACAAAATTGAAAACTGAATTCTATTTTTTTATTGTTTTTAAATCTATCAGCACATAGGAAAAATAATTGTAATAATAAAAATTTAAGATTGGTTGTCCAAACTTTTGACTGATATTGTAAATACTAAGCAAATATGACAATTAAAAGAGATAAGTAATAAAGAACATACCATTGTTATTCCATGCATGTCTCTTGGCTTGAGTGTAAAGGTAATGTGGATATGCTAGTAGGCCAAATCTAACACTCATGAGTTGCTGAACAAAGACAAATCCAAGGAATATCCCACAAAATAGAAATATGTGCAGAGACACCTGAAAAAAAAAAGGATAATATTTGCAATATAACCACAAATAACTGAAAAAAACAAAAAACAAATATATTAATCTGTTACAGAAAAATATGACTTACTATATGGGTGCAGTTCAGGTCACATTTTTGTTTATGTTTCAGCAATTAAAATTACGTCTTAAATTTTGAATCAAAGAAAGCGACTGCTCTCTGCTCACCTTTTTTATTGGAAGTCGCCACATACAACTTTTATTTGCTGTAACTGACATCACAGGCCTCAACTGTCTTGATAGCGGTTCCATGAACCTTATCCTTCATGCATGAGTTATTCAATTCAAAAAGCTCTATTTACTTCAAAACAAGAATATGATCATTCCCAATGTTTTTGTTTCTCAAATTTTACAGAATCCAAATTTGGACAAAAACAAGAATTTTCTGTTCTGTTCTATTGTGTGCAGCCATCATAGAAAGTGCATTTCACTTACAGAACACAGTACCTGTTATAATGCTTGGTTTTATAGAAGATCACCTAAAATTGGACAAGAAGTCAAGTGTGGAAACTACTGAGGCTGGGCAAGAATGATCTCTGTGTGACTCAGGTAATGTGTCACAAAGGGTCGGTCCTCAAAATCAGGGCTCCTTGAAAGTGAAAAGCACTCAAGAATGAAGATCAAGATTTGCTGGTCCTCCTTTCATTTGAAGTTAAGAAGCTACAGGAGATTTGTGTAATTACACATAATTGTCACACAGAAGAAAAAAAAAAACTTCAGAGTAGCAAGACTTTAGAAGAATGACTGATGACAGTTTTTACTAAAGAGCACTATGTGAAACAACGTTCCTAAATCTAGTAAGCTACCTACATAGACAGCTGCCTTCTAAGCCATCATCATAACTCAAATGGATTTAGATTTCAAGATACTTCTCAGTATTTTTACTGAGATCTTTGGATGGCATTATGGGATTTCTTTCTTCACAAATGAGAGCGAAAAGAAAGTACAGTATCTTAGAAAACATCATAATTCCTACCTTTTGGACCAGACTTTGCATTGAGAGCACCTGTGATGCCTTAAAATGCTGCCTAAATATGCAGCTTACTAGGTTTGAGTCAGTAATTTAGTACACACAGCTAGTAATGCAAATAAATGATTTAAGTGAGACTGATGTGTATCTCTCAAGACACCATTTATTTGAAAAAGATCTGTCAATTTACTGTATGTGTGATTATGTGACTGTCTAATCTCAGGTGTCAACTGCTTTAAAAATTATGATAAATTTAATCATGTCAGAAAGCATTTATAAACGAAAATACCTTTCAAAAATAAGCAGCATTAGGGAATACTAAAATGAAAATAAAATCAACAAATGATTCTGAATGTAGGAAAATGCTGCCAAAAAAGTGAGAATTAAATTCTGCTGAATTTTCTGTCTGTGAAATCATTTATAAAACACTAGAAAGGAGTACATAATAATGTACCCCGGATTAGTCTTTGGATCTGGATTGCGTTCTTCAAAGAGTCCAAAGTAAAGGACAGAATTGGTTCCACTCAGGTCCAGCTGTGAGGGGAACAAAATGTTTTTAAATCATTAACACATCATGCAGCTAAATATAAACTATTTTAAAGGTGCATCAAAAAATGACATGCTTCTGGCTATGTTTCCTCAAAACCTTTCAGTAAACAGTGCTTAAAAGAAGCATTTTTTTTCTTAGCGTGAAGAATATTTAAGTAATCTGAAGAACCTGTTTCCACTATAAAGAACATTTTGTGCGATGGAAAGGATCCATGGATGTTAAACGCTCTTCATGAGTCATCAATGCCAATAAAGAAGCATTATTTTTAAGAGTGTATGTCAGAATAAAATATTGCTGTACTACTAACTGATTGCTGCACAGGACATGCAGTGTATGTAGTATGCAACATTGTTCTCCCACGACCTTATCGTTCTGTTTTTGCTGTACCTGGGAAGTGATGTCGGTCCTCCATGGATCCACCTGGAGCCCGTCGCACCAGCCTCCGCGGCCATACAACCAGGTCCCGTGTTCATTGGGCACAGCTCCTTCAGATACCCACATGGCACAGCCCAGAGGTGATCCTGCATGGACATGCACATCTGTTTTACTCACTGGCACAGTGTGAACACATTTCTTTGATGTCATAAGATGTTATCTAGTTCACCCATCCTGTCACCCTGGTGCTACTAACCAGCTGACACAAATATGAGGGTGTTAATGTCATAAAATGGTATCAAGTCCACTAATTCTGCCACCCTGGTGCTACTAACCAGCTGACTCAAACACGAGGGTGTTATTGACGGATCTGTTGATCAGGAAATGATGTGATGTCACACAAAATTCACCACAGAAGTTCTCGTCAGACCCGTGAGCCGTGATAACAGCATATAACTCCACCTGCCACACAAAAATACATATTCAATTCATGGAAGGTTTTAATTCTCCAGAAATATGACATGCAAAAATAAATAAAATTAATAATAAGAATGAATGAATGAAGCATTATACTAAAATAATATTTAAAAAATAATTTTTTATAATTTTTGTATTATTATTGGTATTATCAGTATTATTACTAGTACTATTCCAGCACACATGTAAAAACACACATTCAATTTATGGAAAGTTTTTACTTATACATAAATGTTATATGCAAAATAAATAATGAATAAATTAAAATAAATAAATTGATTGATTGATTGTTTTATTATAAAAATCATATTAATACGATTTTAAAAGATTTTAAAAAACACATTCAATCCATGGAAAGTTTTTACTTATCCAGAAATGTTATATGCAATTAAATAGATTAATTAATTACAAAATAAATACATTGTATTAAAATAAAATATTAAAAAAGATTTTATTATAATTTTTGCATTACTATTGTTATTAATAGTATTATTTATAGTACTATTCCAGCACATATGTAAAAACACATATTCAATTCATGGAAAGTTTTTTACTTATAGATATTTATTTGATATATTTAAAATGATATTTAATTACAAATTATGAATTTTTAAAATAAACAAAATATTAAAATATATTTATTATATTATTTGGTCACCAATGCTGATATATTGTCTGATATTTGGCAGTTTTTAATGAAATATTATGTTTTTCTGTTTGGCCAATGTGTCGGAAGCAGGATTTTTATTTTGACTGGGAGTCTGACTTTTAGATTATTTAAATGCTATTATTATTATTACTATCTGACCAATAATAACAGGTGTGGATTTATCACCTTCTTTGTTGAAGCTGGAAGACTGAACTTGATCTCTTGGTATCTGCTGTTATAGTCCTTGTCAAACGTCCCCCCAGGGAAGAGTGACATTACCTTGAAAGGGTACAGTCTGTCTGAGTAATTACCTGCGAAAACAATGTCAGATGATGTCAACATCCATAACAGACATCCTCATCCCGCTGCAATCTGTTTGACTTGGTTTATTACTACAGTAACTGGAGTTGCACTGATGCATTTTGGGAAACAGCCAAGCCCCTAAATGCACTTCCAAGAAAAGCATATTTATGGTGTTCTGCAAGTGCACTAAAATAGAGCAAGTGATTATATAGATTTATGACTCATTGTGAATTTTATTGTAAAACTGAGGCTGACTACAAACTATAAGTGTGTCAGTAACCGACTTGAAGTTCTCTGTAAATTACATGAAGTGGAGTAATATCAACCCATTTTGATAATGAAGAACCTTCTGTAGTGTTAACTACGTAGATGGTATTCCATTTCTCTTTTCCAAAACTGGAGACACCTCATTTTGTTCCTTTGGGTATGACTCGATAGAACACGTGTGGGTGAGCAATAGCATTCACAGCTGCACGCAGTAAATCAGTCACTGATATGTTCTTTCCACGAAAATATTGGTGTTTATGCAAAAACAAATGTTCTTTTTGCAGGTGGCCCCAAAAGTTGCACACTTTATAACCACAACTAAACGTATTTGACATGAAAGATCTTTTGCACAATATTTACAAGCTTTTTGAAACACTCAGTATTGCATATACAGTACAGTGTAATCAATGCCTAAAATGCCTGATAGTCACAATAGATAACAAAATATCAAAGCACAAAATACAGTACAAACAGTAATACTGTGAAATAGGGATGCTCCGATCAGGATTTTTGCAGCCGATACTGAGTACCGATTTCTTGTCATGGTGATCGGCCGATACCGATGCCGATTCTGATGCTTCAAGCTAAAGTTATTAAGGTGATGAGTAGACTGAAGTTGGGCTCAGGTGGTAGTGCTGTGGGATGTGTTTCCCATACATTTATCAACGCAGTTAAAGTTAAGGTGATGAGTAGACTGAAGTTGGGCTCAGGTGGTAGTGCTGTGGGATGTGTTTCCCATACATTTATCTATTTGTGGCGCTCACCACAATATCAAAACTGACCGATTTTCCAAAAGGCTTTGTTGAATAAACATGAGCACGTACTGCACGTTTAAAAATCAAAACGAGGCGCGGGTGTTTTTATATCACTGTATTTCTGAAGGAAGACTATCTTTAGAAAATTTTCGATTTTCATTTCATCTTTCGTGTTATATGCCTGATAAAGCAGCGTTTGTGAGCTCAGCGCTGCTTTGTGTACAGCTGTTACCGGGGAACCCTCTGTTTCTCCTGCTTTTAAAATGCATTCTGATTATTTGCAGGTGGATAAAATAAATCATAAATGATGCAAATATTAACGACATTTTTTTCACGAGGCAGACGATTTCGCGCAATTTTCTATTTTGATTAATAGAAAGTTGCAAAATACAGTAGAAACAGAAATCTTTTGTAACATTAGAATGTCTCTACTGTCACTTTAGATCATTTAATGTGTCCTTGCTATAGAAAAGTGTTAATTTCTTAAGAAATAAATCAAATGAGTTCTGACCTGTCTGGTTGCTGTAACTAAAGCGTAGATTGAGAGACGTCATCCATGGCATGGCCCATGGCACAGTCTTCATGGTGAAGACACATTTCTTGTCATTTAGCAGGGGAATCAAAGGAGAAACATCCGTCAGCCAATGACCTGTGCCTCTGTAAAGAAAGTCACAAACAGTTTCTACCATCAGCAACAAACTGAAACATACTGTCTAAAGGCCAGTGCTCCTCAAGAACGATTACTATAAAGATAACAATAAGGACAACTATATTAGTGTCCTCACCAATAACGTTATATATATTATAAGTGCAAACTGCAGGTTTGTCATCTGCCCCCTTAAATGCTCAAGCTCTTTGAAGCAGGTGGATTCTGATTGGCTGTCAATGTTTTTATCATTCCTCAGCTGGAAAAATGGTTCTGAAAGTCATTCCAATGATATTGTTCCTCTGTGCCAGTATCATTATAGTTGTGGTGTGGACTCTGCTATTCTTTTAAATATAGAATGACATTTAAAACTAAATCTCTATCATTATTTTTCACAGGGGGTGAGTAAAACGCAGCCTAATTTTCATTTTTGGGTGAACTAACCCTTTAAGGCTAATTTCTAATGTCCACAATGACGATGTTGGAAAAACAGCAACAATTCAGTTAAACCGAATGATCATGTACCTGCGGAAGGCTGTTATCCAGCGCCCGAGCTCCAGGTTGCAGTATGGGCTGGTGCGATCGCAGCATACGTACAGCTGTACGGTGTGATCCCAGTGAGCACATGTCTCGTCCCTGCGGCCGGGACAGGACAGGGAGGCGTCCAATTCCAGAATATCATAATCCATGAAATCTATATACAAAAAAAAAATGTCTAGCTTTGAATGATAGGCCTGTCACGTCATGGTGGATGTTACTAATGTGAAGCTCAAACCTCCAGGCAGATCCACCACTGCTTGAGCTCCCGTCTCTCCCTGCATCAGATGACGATCAAACACAGGCACTATAACGGCAGGCTGACTCAGCTGCTCCTGCAGAGCCTCATTGAATGTGAACCTACAGAATTAAATAAATGTGAACTGGACATAAGAAAAAAGGTGAATTATGATATCATAAGTTAGTGATAGTAATGGCCAGGCCAATAATTAATATTTTGCAATTTTAAGATTTTAAGATCAGCATTTCGCACATACAGTATTAGCACAATAGCTGTCAGCACCCAGTTCTCCAGATATCCCTATGGCATTGGCCATCAGTCAATCACTACATTCAACATTCATTACTACTTTTCACTCGATTCAAATTGTGACAACTAGCCCCGGTTTCCAGTACATGCACTAAACATGAAGACAAATTGTTTTGAGTGGATTGAACACACAAATGTTTTAAACATGATAAGTATTAGCTGTTAAGTGGATGAAATATTCACCAATCAGATATCAGTTTTTGGTTACACTTTATTTTAAGGTGTCCTTGTTACCGTGTAATTACACATTTAAAGGGGTCATATGATGCGATTTCAATTTTTCCTTTCTCTTTGGAGTGTTACAAGCTCTTGGTGCATAAAGAAGATCTGTAAAGTTGCAAAGACTAAAGTCTCAAATCCAAAGAGATATTCTTTATAAAAGTTAAGCGTCAACCACGCCTACCTAAAATGCCTCGTTCTAACACGCCCCCACATATCTACATCACGATGTGG